AACATCGACCAGACTACACAGCGCAACAACCCAGAAGACAGAAATCTGGGTTTATAACGATAGGCACATTTCATTGCACCTTAAACTAAAATGAACTAAATTATATTTGTGAATAATTCAAATTTTAAAGTGTTCACACATAATTGTACTTGGGGGGTAATTTACATGTTCTGTAGCAATTATTCCTTTATTGATTGCAGCTCATGAATTTGACGCACGTCGCCGTATGATTTCTAAAACATTCTACCAGCAGCTGAGATCTAGTGAACGTCAGTCATTGGTTGGGCCTCCTGAATCAATGCGGGAACATGTCGTTGCAGCTTCTAAAGCAATGCGTAATGGAAATTGGTCTGCCTGCAGAAACTTCATTATCAATGAGAAGATGAATGCCAAGGTAAACATTACTTCTTTGTGGTGGTGTCTGTGGTTTTGTTATTTATATATTTTTCCCTCTTCCATCTAATAGCTCCCTTTCAGTACCACCATTCTTTTACTTTCTGAACAACGATGAAGAAATCCACTTCTGAGATCGATTTGGTAAAAATATTTCCACTTTTCTTAATTCTTTATGCTGAGATCTTGGCACATAACAAAAGTTGGTGTATTTAAGCATGATACTGACTGATAATTTCATTCTTCTATGGCGCAAAAGCCCGAAGTCGACCCTTGGCCTCCTCCCATGTGGGAGGTTTCTATGTCTTTGAAGTGTGCATTTATTAGTGAGTGACACACCCACTGCCTCTGCACAATTTCTAATCAATCCTGATTTGTCTGCTAGAGCCATCTAGCAGTGATTCAGGAGAGACTTGGGTGAGAAATGGCCACTGAATTTTACTTATGAAACATCTCATTCATGCTCGTAAGGTCTCTTTACGTGCCATAAATCTACGACACGGGACCGCCGGCTTTACTTCCCCTCTGAATGAAGTTGTGCTACGGATTTCTATCACCCTTAAAATGTCATTGCCCTCTGCTGAGTTTGAACGCGCGAACATTGGAGCCAGTGGCGAGCACACTAACCACTAGTTGACTGAGAGCGACGATAATTTCATTATTTGTACAAATATTGATGTGTACAGGGTACAGGATGCAAGATTTAATAATCTTAATTGCATTTCTTCAGTTGGTGGTTGCTCACGCTGTTTGTATGCTTAAACTGCAGAAGTTTATTTTTCTCCATGAGTGTGATATAAAGCTGCCTGTCTTCTGTGCTGCGCCGTGTAGTCTGATAGAAGCTTGCCAGCATCACCAGGCCGAAGCCGTCTTCACCAGTTTTAATTCAGTCAAATTTTATTCCAATATATAAGGGATGTGATGAGTTCATTTGTAATACCATTTGATTACACATGATGCTATTCAATATTAAAATACCACATTATAATAAGGGCCGGCCGCAGTGCCAACGCGGTCTGAGGCATGGACCTCGTGTGCCTGGCCGCTGGGAACGTGGGTTCAAGTCCCACTCAAGGCATGGATGTTTGTCCGCGTCTTTCTGTGTTTGTATAGGTAGAGGCCTTGCGTCGGGCTGATCACTCATCCAAGTAGTTTGTAAACATACTTTTGACTCACTCTGTATGTGGATCCATGTTGTACATTAGCATGTAGGACATAATCTACAAATCCAGAAACAGACTATTAATATATCGTGTGTGTTGCGTTATCAGTTGTGTATGTTCAAAGACACAAAAGGTTTTCTGGTTTTTTAATCCGCTTGTCCTGTCCACAGGTGTGGGATCTGTTCTATCAAGCTGATAAGGTGCGCGAAATGCTGACACGTCTAATACAGGAGGAGGCTCTCCGGACGTACTTGTTCACTTATTCTCATGTCTATGATTCCATCTCAATGCCAACACTTGCTGAGACGTTTGAGTTGGATAAGCCTATTGTTCATTCCATCATCAGCAAAATGATTATTAATGAAGAACTCATGGTAAGACTTTTAATTCCATTTCTATTAACTCTTGAAAAAGATAACAGTGAAATTCCTCATTTAGGTGTCATGATGGATACTTGATATCATTCCTAATTTGATTGATCAAACTGAAAACTGACAGATTTGAAATTGGGCCATAATCTGGGTGTGAAAACTGGACCTGCATTTTGGGAAATTTTGCCTGTGTTGGAAATATTTTTATCAGATTTCTGTCTTCCGGGTTGTTGCACCATGTAGTATGGTAGATGTTTACTAACGTTTCAGAGGTCATTCCCAGTTTCATCATCAGGGCTCATTGCCCTGACGATGAAGTCATCCGGGACCTCTGAAACGTCGGCATACTTCTACCAGACTGCGCGGCGCAACAACCCAGAAAAAAGCCGTCCTCAGACTCACTGCCGCGAAAATCTCAAATTGTACATTTTTAATTTTCGTGTGATATGTGAGAAATAGTGGCCACGGTGGTCTAGCGGTTAGAACGCTGGCCTTGTAATCCTGGGGTCTTGGGTTCGATTCCCGGTGGTGCCCGAATTTATAACTTGTGTTGGGCAAGGCCGTGGTCTAGGCAACACGGAGTTTTCCTCCGTGGCATCCCAACAATTACTCCATTCACACACAGAAGAAGGCAATGGCAAACCACTTCTGGATCATCTGCCAAGAACGTATATGAACAGGTCCCAGTCCGAGAAAAGGATGGAAGGATCCTGTTCATATGGACCTGTCGTCAGACAGAACACTAAATAAGAATAATAATGTGAGAAATATACAGAACATGTTCTACTCGTTCACAAAATTATGTTATTGCATAATTGCTTTTATCCTTCATTGGTGCATGCATATTAAGAATTATATCACAGCTTGATCCCTTTAGTATTCTGTAAAACTGTAGGTCAACAAACTGTTTGCAGGCATCTTTGGATGACCCAACGCACACAGTGGTTATGCACAGAAGTGAACCGAGTCGCCTACAGTCGCTCGCCTTGCAGCTCACAGATAAAGTCAACAACTTTGTAGATTCAAATGAGAGAATCTTTGAAATGAAACAAGGTTTGTAATTTGCTATAGATATCAAAGTTTAATGCTAATTTTGTACATCGCCATCTGCATGTGTCATTAACTTCAGGTACAAGTATGAAGAGACTGGCAGGTAAACATTATTACTGACGTCTGTTAGTAATCATCGTAGTTAATTTTAATGTTCATCTCATATTATTTTGGTTTATGGCAGAAATGTAATGTATGTTTCCATTTTTTTAATTTAATTTTAAAGGTAACTACTTCAATCGTGGTGGGAACCAAGGCGGTTTCAGAGATCGCCAGAATTTCAACCGGCAAGGGCAAGATTGGGGAAGGCAGCGTCGAGACAGAGGAGAGAACAGAGCATTCTGAAGTTAATCTGTAGAAATACATTTTTGTTTCTGTCTTTATCAGCATTGAAGTACTGTTGTCCGCATCAACAGTTATTCTTAGTATATCTTTATAAAGCTTGAACATGTAAAAATTAATTTGTGTGCGCCAGATACGATTTTTCTTTGTATTTGATTCTTTGCGTTTATAACATTTTTGGAGGAAGTTCTCTTTTAGTTGATTATATTTCACAAATAGCAATGACAGGATGAAGTTTTCATGTTTTGTAGAATCCAAAGTCGAAAATTCTATTTAAAAACAATGAATGTAAGTGTTCGATCCAGTTTGTACAAAAAAAGTACTTGTCCATTTAATTTCTTCTATATACCGGGTCTACAATTTATGAGATTCGGGGTGTGCTTGCGTTGCGTGGTCGGGACTTGTCAGCGTGAGTCACGGGCGAATCAGTTTAGGTGCCGCTAGTGACAGCGAGCTGCGAGTGTTTCTCGTCACTGATACATGTTATTGCATTGATTGTTCTTACCTTAAATCACAAAAGATGCTCAAAGTGACTTCCTTGTGCTTGCAGGCAAGCTTCACATCTCGTTAACACGTAATAACATGTATTAGTGACGAGAAATATTCGTAGTTCGCTGTTACTAGCAGCACCGAAACTGACTCGGCCGACCACGCAACGCAAGCAGAATCTCATAAATTGTAGACCCGGTATTATGTACAATTGTTTACATTGTTTTTCCTGGCAGTTTAGTAAAATAATATATATTGTGTAACAAATGCCAAACTTACATTAAAAAATAAATTTGTATAACCCACATATATAATAGAACACATGTTTTGTGGATCCAAAATCTTAGCTGGAACAGGACACTCTGATGGTGCATGACCATTCAGGAGGGGGATCAGCGTATCCTTTTTTTTCTGCCTCTTCATTGATAGTGAATGGGTGTCGCAGAACTTCTAGCAGAAACTGTACTTCACTAAAATTGTCTGCCTCAGCTTTCTCAATAGCAGTTTGTGCGATCCAGTTCCTCAGCACGTATCGTGGGTTCACTTGGCACATGCGACGTTTCCTTTCTTCATCTGTGAGATCTATAAATTACATAATACCTCATATTACGTACATGTTTGCCATATTATTTTGATCGCAATGCTGACTGTTTTTTGTTATATCAAAACAGAATAAGGTAAACACTAAGCTCTTTCCTAAGAAAATGTAGCTACGGCCTTGCTCAACAAAACAGGAATTTTTATGTATAAAGTGAAGCTTTTGTGACGACCGAAGTTGGTGAAAGACTCGCGGGTTACAAGCAGCGTCGGATGGCACAAGATACGGTTTATTCGCCATTCAGCCACTTCACACGTCTTGTAACCCGGGAGTCTTTCATCAGGAATTGTTATCTTATCACAGTAACTTTTGTACATGAAGTAGCACACAAACGCCAGTTTCAGCCTCACAGGGGCACAAATATAATTTTTCCTCCCCATTTAAACCGAAAATTACCCTTTACATATTTCTGTGTTTTCAGTCATAATCAGAAACAGTTAGTTGTTCGCCTACCAACCTTTTTCCACTTGAAGTCTTTTCAGATAAGCTTCCACAAATGCAGGATAGTTATCATGACTCGATAGCTTTTTAAGAGACCAATAACTCTTCAGTGCTTGTGGGTTCCCTAAATCTGTTAAGGAGATTTCCCCGAGCTGCCTAAATGTCATAGTGAAATCAGCTCGCGTTTCCTCCATCATCTGTAGTAAGAGCTTGATAAGCCGATTGTCGGCGGCATCTATATCCTGAAGAAATCCCAACTTCTTTCTAAATGCAGATCTGAAACGGGTACATGCACAATGATGCATTAATTTGTATCACATCTGTCCAGCAGAACAGAATTCGAATGTTTTGCTCTACCAAATTTTTAAAATAATCTCTCATCACAGAAAAATGAAACGCAGTGAAATTCCGAATTAAAATTAGAGATATCGTTGCCAAGAGTATCCATTGTTTTATGCTACGTTGTATCATTTTTTTATAAAATTATTACCAATTTGTGTTTACGTCCATTCTGGCACCCTGTACTAAAAACAAGCATACAATATTACCAATTTGTGTTTACGTCCATTCTGTTTTACCTAGACACTTTGTACTAAAAACAAGCATGCAATGTGAGCCCAGTTCTATGTAGGAAAAACTAACGTGACATTACTACTGATCTATAACAGCAGTTCATCAAATTCAAATGCACTAACGCAGACCATAATGAACATTGTCCAAATATTTATAACATATTTAACCCAGTGTAGGTCAATGATATCTTTTACATTTGTATCTCTGCTTGTCACTAACAGAGTCTATTCGCAGGTTTTTCTTCTCATAATAAAGAGCAATGTTGTTTATAATTAATATTAACATATTTAAATCTTTAATGGTATCTTGGAGGTAAGAATCAATTGTAATTATGTAGATGAGTTTTGTCCTTTACAGTGTTAAAACAAAACTATACATTAGTAAAATTAGTCTCGGTGATTGTGTTTCTGTCATTTATGATCGTTTTTAAATGGCTGTGGAGTCGGAAGCAATTTTAGGTAAAGTCGGAGTCGGTAAAAATGTACCGACTCCGGTATAAAATCTGAAGAAAATACTGTTTCAACACTTTCGCTATCGTGTGAGCTGCCGGCGGCCTCACGCTTAGGGAGATTCAATGACGCGTTGAGCCACATCCTGTGGGAATAGCTCCGGCACCGTAAGAATAAAAACTGTCTCCAAATCAACCGATTTCTGCAATAACCATTAGATGTATATTTAAATATAGGTTATAAATCTAAAAAGTAGCCTGATGATCCACGTGGTGGTGGTGATGAAATCTCTTGTGGTACCATTTACCATTATTAATACATATTGAGCTTTTGAGAAGGAGTCAGGGGTTTTAGTACCGACTCCACAGCCCTGTTTTTAAACCACTGGTACCGAATATACATTGGCTTATACCCTTTCTTTATCAGAAGGTGTCTGCACGGCGAATCAATTTTGGCTACTGAACACCGATTTTATTAGAGCAAGAATATGTAAAACTGTTTGCAGTAATAAAACAAGTAATTAATCCTTTAATGTTCCGTTTAAATTCACTTATCATTATGCTATTAGACCAATTAAAATACCCTTTTTATCACAGCATCTTCAATTTCATGAAATAAAACTTTAAATAAGGGCCAAATCCTGTGTCCTCATATGGATTAGAAAATGTCTTAAAATTTTGGTATGACTTTCACTGCCAATCGGCTTCACGCCACTAAGAATCTATTCAGTCGGCAACAACGAAATCTGATCCTCTTTTAAAGAGCTCCCCATGCACATACCCTTTCTTACCTTAGTTTTTTACTAGTACTTTGTCCAAGGTTCTGTAGCTCTTCCATCACCTGGATTACTTGCGACTCGTCGAGAAGAGGAATGAACGCCTGTGACAATTTTTTCAAGTTCCATTCCGCAATCTAATAACAGATTAGCAAAATATGCTAATCAGAAACTGAAGTGAATCAACTCATCAAACTTTACAGTCAGTTTATGGGGTCTTTTTCATATGTAGTGAACCATTATGATTTTATCAAATATGCATGTCCTACGTTACTATGTTTTATGTCAATAAAATCTTCTCGGGCAACCAGCCGCGTCAACTGGTTACCGTAGTAAACCAAGGATTCGGGAACCAATTCTGTCTCCATCATCAGCATCACGCCCCGGCCACACTTTACCCCCAGGAAAGGACCCCAGTACCCATTGGATAGGAGACTGGGTGGGACCCAAAGCCAGTCTGGATGCAGAGGCTAAAGGAAAAATTCTCTGACCCCCGTCGGGGATCGAACCCCGATCGCCCAGCCCGTAGCTAGTCACTATACTGACTGAGCTGTCTCAGCTAAATGTAACATGAAAATATGCTATATGAAAGTACATTAAATAAATGAAAAGATACCTCTAGCTGTCTGTTCAAACGGTATCTTCCTTCTTTGTCTGAATAATTTGGAACAAACTGTGGGTCATATGCTTCCACAAATCCAAAAGGTCCGTAATCAATAGTAATGGCAACCATGCTCATATTGTCTGTGTTCAGGACTCCATGTACAAAACCAACGCTCTGCCAGCCCACAGTTAGATCCACCGTCTTATGGGCTATCTGGCTGAACAGCTGGACGTACTTGTTCTCGTCCCCTGGATCGATCTGTGGGTAGTGTTCCTGGGAAATTTATACATTAGTGTTCACAGGAATGTTGCACTTTTTACAATAAAAATAAACAATATAACATTAAGCTTCAACTCACAATTAATATAAAATCTAAAAGTTGTTTTAATACTGTAAGCTCTTCGTTGTGAGCCAGGATCTGAAGCGAACCAAATCGAAACCAAGACGGTGCCAAACGGAGAACGACTGCCGCCCTCTCGGTCATTTCAAGACCACGGTAGAACTGGTCCCTCAAAACTGGGTCATCAGTTACAACAAGACTTGCAGCTCGGGATGTTGGAATACCTTGCAAAACAGCAGCAATAATATGAGGATCTTCATGTGGGATTATAAATGTCACATTAAATTTTCAAAGAAATTTTGTGCAATATGTGAACGAAGATAACAATTTAGAGTCATAAGACGAAACTTGATGTTTATGTATGTATGTATGTACCTGCCCTTGACCCTTTAGAAATAAAGTCTGTGTAATGAAAAATTAGACAGGAGATTAGTCCAAAAAGTCTCTTGATGATTCAATAAACTATTACTTACAAAATTCTATTTGAATTTTCTGTTTTGTATATATGCTTGGCTCACTAAATTGTATGGGAGTTTATTTGTAGACGTTTTCTTCATGATGACAGCCATATCTCTAATAAAAAAAAATATATAATGATAACTGTGCATACTGCTAGCGGCTATTAAATGAGATATAAGAAATGGGTGGCATGCTGATACAGAACTTGTTCTACAGAAAACATTTCACAGTATGCATGCATATCATAACTTAAATTTTCTGAAGGATTTGTGTAGTTGTGTGCACTTCAGTATTACAGAACTACAACATCACTGCACTGTTTTCTTTGTTATTATAAGTGAGAGTGAAGTAATTACTTATGTTCTATTTATAACAGTACTTTATTAAACATCATTCTTGTTAGCATCCTCTGCAGAATTTGTAAGTTTTCTTACCCAAGTAATACATAGCTTCAGAACAAATAAATTCACGGACAGATGAACGAAGTACTGCACGCCCATCAGCGCTTCTTGAATATGGGGTCTTTCCAGAGCCTTTAAGTTGCAATTCCCATCGATCCCCTGTCCTGTTTATAGAAAGAAAACATTATCAAACCACTGCACAAAATACCCATTAGTTTAATATGGTAATATATTTATCCTGCATAAAATACCTGACCTGTTTATGTATTCACCAAGCAAATGTGCTCTGCCATCTCCTAATTGCATTGCCCAAACACCGAACTGGTGACCCCCATATCGATGTGCAAGAGGAACTGAACTTGGAAGAATTCTATTTCCTGCTACAAATTCTAGAAACTCATCAGTTTTTGTAACTGAAGGATCCATATCAAGAATATTGACTAGGGCATCTTCAGAATAAGATACCAATTTTAGTTTTGTTTTTAATGGTGTTGGCAAAACAACGGAAAAAATTGAATTTTTTACGTTACACCGAACATAGTTTTCCTGTGTAATATCTAAAGGAAGGGTCAATAGTTTAGAGTGAGAAAATTGCCAGTCATTCATGTCTTTCTTCAAACAGAAGCTGTCATTTGCTCTTTCCATCACAAAGTGTGTGGAATTTCCTTCAAGGTCATGTAAATGTTTCCCACTAGCCATTAACAAAGCAGATTCATATATCTGCAAAGCAGTAATCACTGTCTTGTGTAATTATTGTGTCATTAACACACCCCAACAAACTTCAAGAACTGATTCTGACAAACAGTGCAGTATGGGAGAAGAGGTTATGTGCATATATATGCGTTAGTAAATCGTTGTAACTGCGGACTCATGTATATCTTCAGTAGCCAATTTATTGTAGATTATGATTGCATTTCTCTGATAACTGAAGTGTATTCAATCTTGTTTTAATAACAGTATCCTCTGACACCACTATCATCTATTGACATTTCACCACCTGGTGCTCTTGGACTGGTATTAACTTATACTCTGTGGTGTGACAATTGACTTGCTTTTGTTTACAAATCGTTTCCTTCGCATGTTTGAAAAAGTATTGAACTATGTTCGGCGTGGCACTATTGTTCGGGGTAATGTGCAGGTGCCGGAAGGAAAGGTTGTGAACGTTTTGGTAAGAAGAATAACATTTTTTGTACTATAGAAGTACCGTATAATCACGTTTTTAATTATTACGTAACGTCATATTGACGATTACATCAAGTTAAAATTGCTGAAGGAGCATGAAGTAACACTTGCACATAGCTGTTCTTGAAAGTTGATAAAAGTGCGCCTCACGTTTCTTATAACCATTTTTCCTCGTGTGAATAGAAAAGATGTGAAAGTGGTATTGACGTTGAAGACTGATTATGCTTGTGATGAACGATATAGAGAGAATGCCATTCCTTTTAATTCTGGTAGCAGTTTTACTAAGATGGTGCGTTTCTCTGCATCCATACTCTGGACAAAACAGTCCGCCCATGTTTGGTGACTATGAAGCCCAGCGACATTGGATGGAAATCACTCGAATCCTGCCTCTGCAAGACTGGTACTACAATACATCTGAAAATGACCTTATGTATTGGGGTCTTGATTATCCACCATTGACAGCATATCATAGTTTATTATGTGGTTATGTGGCAGACTTTCTGAATCCAGAATTTGTTGCTTTAGGAGCATCACGTGGATATGAAAGCTATGAACACAAGCTTTTTATGAGGGTTACTGTTTTGATAGCTGATCTCTTCATTTATATTCCAGCAGTTTGGTGGTACTTTTGCAAAAAACAGTCTGATCATCAGAATGTGTCCAGAAACTTACGGGATGGTAACACATATTCAGTGCATAGTGTGAAGGAAGATAAAGCTCTTACTTCTCATATTTCAATGTATTTGACTCTTATCTATCCTGGACTGATATTAATTGACCATGGTCATTTCCAGTACAATGGAATTTCTCTTGGTTTAACAATTGCAGCAGTTGCAGCCATAATGCAAGGAAGAGATCTTATAGCATCTGTTCTTTTTTGTTTCTCTGTAAATTATAAACAAATGA